ATTTAAGAATTTCTCTAATTTAAAAATTTTGTATGAAACAACTTTTTTCTTAATGAAAAAATATGTGTGCACAATTTTTAGATAGAAAGTACTTAGAACAAGACAAATTCTGCTGCTGTACTCATTGCTGTGTTTCTATAGAAATTTTCTGCCCACTTGTGTACTTACAAAGGTATGATTGTATTTACGTAAACATGTATAATAGAGAGTGCTTTCTTTTCACTGCTTTTTCGGCTGTGCAAATATCATCAATTGAGAACAATACTTCTTTCATTGCGTCGTCGCTGAAAATGGCGACGCCGTTGACGAACTTGTCATTTGCGCAAGTAATACTTAATGTTCTGCAGCCGTGTGACGTTAACAATCTATATAATAAATTTGTACAAATATTTAAATGCAGTAGCTCATGACATTACATAATGCAGAAAATTTGACAATATTGTGTTTTTGTTTGTTGAACAAATAAAATGATAATTTCATACATTGACGTACACTGACACTATAGTTACTGTAGAAATTCGACCGGTTTTTCTAAATTTTAAGACCCTTAAGGTTTTCTAACATAACACGTCGTTAAAATAATAAGGTAAACAATTACTTACCGCAAAGTCTCCTGCCTTGGAACTTAAATGTGGCAATTTTTTTTTTTATATTTGAAGGTTGATAAATTTCGATAATTTGATACATATCGATAATTCAATGAATTTAAAAAACACTAAAAACCGATAACTCAACAAAATGCGATAACTCGACTAATTTCGATATTTCCTAGGCTCGATAAATTTCGATAACTCAACAATGTATGTAATCGATAACTCGATAAATTTTGGATACCTCTATAAATTTCGATAACTCGGTAAATTTTATAGCTGCATATATTTCGAAAGCTATCGATAAGTTTCGGTAGCTCGTTAGCATCTAGTAATAGGATAAAATTCGACAAGCGGTTATAACTCGATAAACCTATATAATATTGAAATTTTAATAACTTGATATATTTTGAAATTTTCAAAAACTTCGATTCGATAAATCGACAATTTTCAGTAAGTGAAGAAACATCGATAGTTCGATGAGCTAAAAGAACTCTATGCATAACGATAACTCCGTAAATTTCGAGAACTCTGCAAATAATTATAATTCAATAAATATCGATAACTTGAGTAATGTCATTAGCTTGAAAAATTTCGATAATCCGGTAAATTTTCATAGCTCGATAACTATCCGTATTTCAAATACGAAGTAAAACAAAATACGAAAACAACTCAAATTGAACAGGTTGCAACAACCACTAAATATGCACAAATACAGATATTTTTAAAACGACGATTTTGGCCGTAATTTTTAGCCAATTTTGAAACCATAAGAACTATCATCATCTACAGAAAATACCTTTCCAATGTGAATTGCCAAACGTACGGTGACAAAATTTATGTCAGCGTATATACATACTAGAATATACATTTTCACCGGAACATCATCGTAGAAAATACATCATTTTTAGATGTTGCTTGGAGCAGAAATTGAACTGAGTCTTACCAAGTGGAAGTAAACACCTCAAACCACGTGATTTCGGAGGCCTGATACGAGTACTTTAATAAGTATGTAAATGCAAAATCCCTTTTAAACTACCAAGTAGATAAAGCAGTAGTAGGTGCCCTTCAGAAAGCTTAACTACAAAATTTATAAGTAATGTAATTAAAAACATTTAAAACTTGCATACAATGTTGTGAAGTAATTTATGAAAATGTAAATACTTTGCTTAGATAACATTACATTGTAAGTAATGACCTTTTATTATTCTGTTACATATTTACTAGTAAAATGTAAATGAATTCAAACAGCTAAGTATCATCACAAAACACTCATTTCGCACAAGTGCTTATGCCATGACAAGTTGCTGTCCACTTAGCGATATCTCGAAAGTATTCACAGATATATATGTACTTAGAACCTTAATTGTGCGAATGTACATACGTGTGATCATAAGAAAGCATTACAAGTTAGCATGCGCGCAACGGAACGCAACGGCATCGAAAATACGATTTGTCATGGTGCTAATTATTCAGCAATCTAGTAGGTAATATTTTAAATGCGCACATCTTCTGACTATTTCGAAAAATTATTTTAATTCTGTAATCGTCTTAAGGCAAATGTATTTTAGGGTAATTTTTTTCTTGTTTAGTTACATGATCAAAATCTATTTAAATGATTGGGTAAATTTGTTTGCCTTAGCAACCACTTTTTTGGGTGCCCATATTGATAATCAGCAAGTAATGGCGACTTCTTTCTGTTCATTTGGGTGTAAATACAAACAACAATGTAACGAAAATCAACACACTCGTTGGCTTCCAATTCCAAAAGAAAAAGCGACAGAAGACGGTGGGCGATGACGGGGGGGGTTGGTCAGACTAAGGATTAGCGTTAAGATTAAGATAAAAATAGAGTTGAGCAAAGTTCGCGGCGTGCAAATTTTTGACAAGTACTTATGAAGTGAATACGATTTTTGACAAACGCATAGGAAATTTTAATAAAAATAAATAAATAAATAAATTTTTAAATTTTAAAAATATTAGGAAATAGCTGCTGTCTCAAAAAAAAAAATTAACAAGAATTACACCACATTAAATATTTCTCGTCAATAGATTAATTTAATGTTTCTAAAGCTTTAATTGATTTTAATTTATAATAAGTATTTTATTCGACATATATCTGCGGTTGCTAAAAATTTACTGTTGTCCCAAAAGATTTAATTTCTCACAGCAGATTGGCAAAATTGTCTCACCATAGTAAAAATATTATTCACTTCAGCTTTCCCCACAGAACTTAGTTACCAATTCACACAAGCCCTTAAAGCAACAGAAATAATGAAAAGCATTTCATGTGATCTTTCTTCAGATCTGAAAAATAAGCATAAAGAGAAAAATGACATAAGTTTAAGATTCAATTAATCGTCCGTTTTTTTTTGGATGTAGTAACATCCCTGCAGTGAAAAAACAAACCAGTCGTCAGTCAGCAATAGCCTAAGTTAATATAATTATTACAATTTAAATATAAATTACAAATTTGAAAATCTCTTTTTAATTGAGAAAAAACCTATCCAGCGCTAACTGCCAAAAATATAGTTATATAGTTATAAAGTTAAATAAATCATACGAATACTGAAGTCACTTGTAAAAAAATTTGCCGCTGTGCAGCTTTTATACCATCCTTTGGTTGACAAAAAAAAATTAGGTGCGCTTGGAACACTGACGTCGAAAAAATCGTTGAAAAGGAGGGCATAACGGACGCGACAAAAAAAAGTGATTTAAGAGTACATTTTAAAAATAAGCAAAACTCAGCGAATAAACATTCTTTAAATAAAGTCAAATTATCATATTATACCGTTACAATCAATTCATCAGAATTAATCAGAAGCTAACCGTTGTTGATTTAATTTTGAACTAAAATCTGGTAACGTACGCGACATATCGGACGTGACAGTTTTTTCTCCTCTACAACATCTTTACTAGTACCACATACTAAATTTAATTTTTTATTTAATTTTTTTTGTTCTTCTCTCCACCGTTTCTCCTTTTCAAAAGCTCTTTTCCCCATGTGAATATGAAATTTAAAGTTATAAAGCCGTTTGAATTCATTTCCTTGCATTTTCGGTTTACCGCTTTCGGGAAATGCCCATATGCATCTAGATGATCTAGGAAATTAAAAGATATATACAAAAAAAAAATTTTTAACAAATTCAATTTAAAGATTACAATAGAAAACCTAAATAAAAAAATACAGTAAAAAAATAACTAAATTTTTCACATATTTTTTTTCATAATTTTTAATGAAAACGAAAGCGCGTATTATGTATTTCTTTTACAATACAAAAAAAAAATGTGGCTGAAAATTAAGTGTTTTGGCTAAAATTCGCCAAAAAAAAAGTGGTAAAAGTCAACACCTTTATTTTTCGATGCTTTCCTTATGTATTTGAATACGCTTAATAGTTACTTATCTGAAGTCCGTTTTGCTCTATCACGTAAAAATTTGTTCATAACTTCAAAAAACATGGCAGATCTTATGTGACAGGTCCGTTTTCTTGAGGTATTGAGGTAAGGAAAAAATCCTGACTTGATGGAGTGAAATGGACTGCGGATACGTGTTAAGCGCATCAAATACATAACGAAAGAGTAGTCTAATCTCTGAGTCCCTACACTTTTTATTAATGTGGCAGTGTTATTGACAAATCTGAAAATTCCCATTTTAGAAATTAATAAGTATACACATGTATGCATGTATGTAAATATCTGTGTACATAAGTTTGTGATTTGCCCTTTGTTAATTACATATTTCGCATAATTAGTTTCCAACAACATGCTAACGGCAAACGCCCTCTCCGCAAAGCAACAACCTTCATGGCACACGGAAGGTCAGCGCAAAATTTATTTTACAAACATACACCACACACACATATATACTATATATTTGCACATAGTTAAATCAATTGAAAGCAGACAAAAAAAAAATGAACAAAAATGCGTACATACATACATACATGCATATTCAAAATCAAGTATGTCCGCTGTTAACGAGTTCATGGCGGTTTTGTTATGCTTGTGCTTGCAATTTTTTTTTGTTCATAGCAAATTTCTATGCGTTTTTTTTTATTCACTTATTGCACTGTGACTGCGAAAAAACTTAAAAAATGAAATGGATTTTGAAGCATTACGAGGGTTTTATATTCAATACCCTCTATCTGCACTTGTCACAAAAATGAGATTCTGATATTAAAATCCACCTAATCGGTGATATTATAGTTGACCTTGTATGACGCTTGACAGAAGAATTTACTATTAAATTTCAATCATAATTGCCAACAGTAATGACGAGGTTCTAAGTTAGTAGTTTTTGTGAAAATTGCAAATAGAGGGTATTACATATTAGCCATCGATAAGCATTTTGGAATAATTTTTTGTGTTGTTTTTTTTTTTTTTTTAATTTTTTCGGCAACTTCTACTAACCTTCCCAAACAGTTTGTCAGCCAATAGGCGTAGTAATCCAGCTGTGAGATGGTTGCTTGCACCGTGGTTTCGTCGCTGTTGTAAGCCAGTGTGTAGGTTTTGTAATTTTACTTGTTTTGATATAAATCCAATAAAATCCAATTAGTAATAATCTAATGTGTGGGAGTGTTGGTAAGCCAATTGAAACTTTACTTTAAATATTATATGTATGTGTTTCTAACTTGCACTGCCGATTATAATAAATTTTTGAATTTGGTCAATAAAATTTTTTGTGGAAATTTGTTATGGGCTCTTGAAAATTTGGTGTGTATGTACATATGTATGTGTTTTTTACTAAGCACTTTTCAACACTTTTACTGCAAACTCACAGTAAGTTTTTTACACTGCTGCAGCCAATACATTTTAATGAGTAGATGTATTTTTTTTGGTTTTTGCTCCTTTTTGTCGTTATTTGTAACGCATGTTGATTCAAGGGAATTTTGTAAATTAATATATATATATTTTTTTTTAGTTTTTTTTTGTTTGTAATCTTTTTGTTTTTGTTTTCTTCCTTTTGTTGCGTGTTTGCTTGGACTTGTATAAAATTTTAGTAAACTTGTAAGGCACAATTATTGGCTGGAATTCCTGAAAAATTTCGAAATTCTTATAGCACATAGTTTTTTGAAAGCAAAAGATATTCTGCATTTACAGTGAATTTTTGGTTTTCGCAAGTCACATCCTATTTTTATTGGTTTTTGTTTTTTGACTAAAGAAAAAAAATTTGAATGAGTACGGCAGACTATTAGTTATTGTAGCCTAAAAATTACTAAAGGATTTTAGCAACAAGTTTCACGTGTAACATTAATTTTACACACATCTCCCTGTTAGCCAACAACATCATTTATTACCCCAGATTTGATTAAACTATACTTCATACCTCTATTCTTAAGCTGAGCCTAAACGCCCAAACTGATCAGTGAAATCAATTGACGCTCGCTTCAACCAATCCATTAATATTTAGTAAAAATTCATGCCCAGTTGGGTTTTCGTTGGGAAGATCTGTCATGAAGTGTCTCTATTGCATTTCTTGTCTTGTCATTGATTGCCCCCAAGCGAAAAAAAGTTAAGCGGAAACAACGGTTTTGCAAGCAGTGGTATAAAACGCAAAATAGCTTGACTTATGAAAATTTTCGTAACACTAAAAGGATTAATTAGAATGGACCCAATGATTAAATCGATTGACTTCAGCTTTTGTACACAATAATTGATCGTTTACGATTTCCTTTATATACCATATTACGATCAAAATGTTTGAAGTAAAGTTTTTATTGCAGCTTTTTTTTTTGCTAATGTATTAAAATTATTATAACTTTTTTTTAAATTTACTAACCTACGATTTTTTTTTATTTTGTTCCTCCTCAGCACCGCGAACTTTGTACGGATCTACCCATAGCAGATAGTAAGCAAAGCTTATACCGAATCTAGAAGCTTAGGTCATCAGCAAGATCGGCGAAGTGACGGTGCTTTTATCTGGACTCAGGTATTTCAGAAAATATTGCAAAATGCATAAATTGACGAAGAACACATAATTTTGGAATGTTCACGATGAGAGCACAAGAGGTGCAAATTTGCGAAAGCAATATACCCATTCATCGCTTATTAAATCACAAAGGAAATGCAGAATATAGTATAGTAGTGAGAAAATTGGGCCAAGCTTGGCGGCTGTTTCCACTTAGTAAAGTGCAAGTTTCAAGTGGCTAAAAGTTCGCATCGATTTTTATTGTACAGCTTAGATTATGTAAAAAGAAAAATTTTATTTTATATCGCTTTGGCAGCAACCGTGCGTATGTGGTTAGCAGTGCGCACTCCCACCCGGTCTCATAAGAACCTTTCTAAATTTCAGAGGCGGAATGTAATGAGTAAAGTTTTTTTTGCTAATTTCGGCAGGTATTTTCATTGAATTTAATTTGCGTTAATAATTTTCAAAGGGTGTTCAATTGTAGTTATTAAAAAATATTTGTATAGTTTTAATAATACGAGTAGGTATTTACACTCGCGGCAAAATGTATTGCCTCAGAGAATTTTTCACATTATAAGCAAAAAAAATTTTTTTCACAAATTTTTTACAAAGCTATAGTTCATAATAAAAAAGTAAAAAAATTATGTATTTCTAAACTTTGTGCAAAACTCAAAAAATTTCCCAATTTTTTAATCCGATTTTTAGAGTTTTTGTTGTTGAAATTTTCATGCAAGTATGCATCTTTTTAATATGATTTTTGTTAATTTTTTTTTCTGAAGGTGTTTCGCATTTTTTCCATACAAAGCATGCAGAAAAAAATCAACTGTGAGTCCTAGTTCTAAAAAAACGGATTAAAAAGTTACAAATTTGCATGGAAATTAAAAAAGAATCTCAAAGATTTGATTAACAGCCAATTTCATGAAAGCAATTTAAATGAAAAATTATTTTGATTTTTTGAATTTTGAATTGACCGAAAATAAAAAATCATTTTCCATTGAAATTGCTGTGAAACAGGCTGTAAAAGTTGAAAACTTTGCATGAACTTTTATTGAATTTTTCTGAGTTTTGCACAAAGTTTAGGAAAAATAGTTTTGTTTTTTTTTTGCTGTAGTATGAACCATTTTTTTAATGAACGAATTTTTTATTTTTTATTTTTTGTACAAATCGTGAAAAATTCTCTGCGACAATACTTTTTGCCGTGAGTGTATATCTCTAAGGTTTTTACAGATGCACATATTTGCTATTTTTATATAGTTTTCCTATAAATTTTTTAATTTTTCAAAACTTTATTCATGTTATTTATTTCTAATTTATTAAAACTTAATAAATAAGTTTTAATGATCGATTCGTTGTGATGAACAAATTTTATTTTACTTTTAATAAAATTTCTTTTGCAGGGTTTCGTATGAAATATGTTTTAGTTTTTGCCATTTACACTAGTTTGGAAGTGACAAATGTTTTTAGTAGGTTTTCATAGTAGTTTGGTTTTTTTTGATGCACTTAAAATATTTGATTCAGTTGGCGTAGTGTAGAACATTTTTAAGCACATTAACTTATTTTTCAGCTTTAAAGTTCCGCACCATTCTTTACGTCCAGGATTTTTTTAAATGAAAAAAAAAAAACAGAATGTTTTAAGACACACAAAATGAATTTGTCCAATTTTATTTTTAGTTTACACATTTTTCGGTTTTTTTTTTTTTTTAACTACATACATAAATCACATGTTAATATTTTAGCCTTTAATTTTGAACTTATTTATTTACATTACCACTTTGGCACTTCAGTTGAAATGAGCCTGCCAAATTTTATTTTTAAATTTTTCCGTCATAAAGTACACACACTTTTTCTTCAATTGTCCAAAGTAAATTCAACAGCCTAAAAACGCGTATATGCAAACGTATGTATGTATACATAAATAGGTATTTTTAGTACATATTTATTTTCGAGTGCTAGCAATTTGCATCCGCATCCGTATCCGTTCGTTGCCTTTGCCTTCGTATTAGCCGCGCGCGCTACAAACACATAAATGTAACTAACCTTTGCGAACGGTTCAGTTTCGGTGTCTCGATTTCGGTTTGTGGGTTAAGAGACCGCAAATGCTGCTACACATACACAGAGTTATATGTATACACATATATGCACATACATACATACATACATATATGCATGAGTGTTAATTAGGGTGGTACTACATCGAACTAATCGAACTAAACTAAACAGCCAAAACTGAAAGCGAAAATAAATGGCGAAGAATAATATCAACGTAACGCATTTGAGGAAGCATCAAATACTCCAATACATATGCACATCCGCATGCACGCATGCACGGACAAATGCATAAGCGCGCAGAAACAAGTATTTGGTACGCGTACATTCATACATACATGAAAATATGTACGTTGAGGAGCACCCACAACTAAACATACACACACCAACGCAATTAATTGAAAACGAATTTGAGTTCCGAGTTGTTGAATGCAGAGCGGCAGCTGCTTTGGAGCAGCGCGTGAGCTTGCACAGATACTACTTATGATTACGCGCACACATGCATACATAAATGCATAAAGGAGTATGTACACACATTAGCACCTTGCATTGATCTTGTCACACTTCTAGGCACATATGCTTGTTGTTTTTATTTTTTAAACATTGTTGTACTAAATATTCCTATAAGCTCTGGCATTGGGTTGAGCTGTGCAAAAATTCAATATAGACTAAACTGCATTACTATTACATTTATGTAGATATATGTATTTTGTTGTAAAGACGCTTTAATCAAAAAGAAAATACGATTGATAAAGACGCGACGACGTTGATTAGCGACGTCGATGAGACGATTATTACGATGACAACACCACACGACACAACCTACCAGGCGACTAAAGTCGCAACCGCGAACTGAATTGCCAAAAACCTTGATACCGATCGCAGAAAACATCCATACACACACACACACACACATACCCACCCATATATGTATGCGCAGCAGCGAACCTAATCCAAAACCCAAAATACCTAAAAACATGAAATGAGCAAAAATAGTAATGAAAAAAGAAAACAAAAAGCAAAAAAAAAGCTCATAAAAAATTGCGAACGTCGCTGTGGGCGCTGTGCGGAGGAGCAGCATAGTAGGTACCTACCAGCAAACTATAAGTATGTACATACATATGTATGTTTATATGAACTAGTATAAGTGTGTACGCACACAAATGTACATATATGTATATGTATGTATGTTTGTACAAATGGAGCACATTTTCAAAGCTTACAAGCTGCTGGTAACAATGTGTGGGCCACATGCGAAAATTAAATTCTGCAAACAACGATCGATAGCGCGCGCGTCGACGCTGTCGTCGGAAGGCGTTGACAATGCCGACTGCGGCGGAGACGACCACGACGACAGCGTCGTAATGCTTAGACACTTAGGGCCAGCGTTGCCCGTTTGGTAAATACTTATTTATGTATATGTATACCGACTATTTTCCAAAATTGCTAATTTCTTTTCCTGCTTTATTAAATTTGGTAATTTAGTAATTTAATTTTCAGTTAACTGGTAACTTTTTCGATTCGGTATTACAATGTATTTTCTCCCCTTACATAGGTAAATATGTATGCAGTTCATATCAGGCCCGTTCTGCTTCCACATTACAAGTGGCTCGTAAAGGTGCTCACAGTGAAAGACCAGGTAATCCTTGAAGTTACGCAGAACGAAAAATTGTTCCATCGTTCACTGGTACCCGTATGAGTAGAATTCTCATTCAAGGACGTATGGTATTCAGTAAGGGAAAGCCTATTGACGTCAGTGTGGGACTTTAATCCGAACTAAACGTCCTACTATCCGAGTAAAGATCCCCCCGGTACCACCGTCAAGAATTTCGTCAGGAAGCGGTTTTAACACTAGGTTCGATAATTCTAGGGAAATATCTCTTATCTTTATTTGCCTCCTTAACGACCTAGTTTCTATACCGCGCCGCAACTGATTCCTGCCCCTGCGCTTTAGTTGGTCAACTTCAGGGTGTGTAGTTGGTTCATGCCCATTTACTGGCTCCTTTTATCATACAGTCGACCACTGACTTTGGCGCAAACACCTCTCCAACGGATAATCTCACTTGGTTCATATGCCGAT